ATTTTTTGCAACAAAATAAGTATAAAAAAACCTTTTGAAAAATAAATACTCAATTCTAGTGATTTTATATAGGCTTTTATTTACATTTTTTATGAATTGTACAAAAAACAAATGATTAAAAAAGTATGGAATAAGACATATTAGACTCAGCAAATTTGAAATTAGTTTAAATATAAGTTTTATATTTTTATTATTAAATTCTATTATTTAATTTTTTTGATATTGTAATTATTATTAAGTTTCTATTATTATTATTAAATTATCTATTTCCTTAAAAAAGCAATTTTTTTAAGTGGTCTTTGGCTAAATAGTAGTAAAATCCTGTTTCTGTAGTCGATACTTCAACTTTGCAAATGATGTCAACATCTGGAATCCGGTATTGGCTATCCACTGATGACCTTTTAAACGACCCTGCAGAACCATTTGGGCACATAAATTTGACAAGTACACCTTTTTTTTCTAGATTAATGTCTTCAATGGCTTCTACCCATCATCTTTGCTCATAGATAACACAGATCACCTGGTTCTAAGATTAAATGAATGGTTTGATTTTGAAATACAAATAATTAAATTAATGTTATATACTTAACAACTTTATTCTTTTTCAAATAAAAAACATTACAAAAAATGTGCGAATGTTCGAATTCTAATCATAACGTATAAATAAAATATATAAAATATCGTTGTTTTATATTGAAAACATATCAAGTAAAAAATTTCTACTACAATTTAAAGTCTACAAAGCATTTTAATGTTTAATTTTGCGCTAATTCTGAAGATATCACTAATGGAAACTGTATTTAACAAAAAGTTTGCTAGACCTCATAAAGATTATATAAAAAGCACTATTGAATAGTACTATTGAAGCACTATTGAATAGCACTATTGTAATAGTAAAACAACAGCCTGCTCCAGCTCTTCTGCAACTGTCAATTGCACATTTTCTAGCAGATGTTTTATAATAATTTAAAATTTGATTTAATATGCTTATATAAGTTTTATACTTTGGTAAGAAAAAAATTAAAAGCTTATTTTTTACAAATTAAGATTTACTTGGTCGGCCATTTTTAAAGCCTGCTTACACTGAATGTTTTTATTTTTATCAATGACTACAATAATTATTTTCTAATTTATAGGAGCGATTTTCACTGATTTTTTTTATTTTATATTTTTTTTAATAACAAGTAAAAATTAATAAACGTGGGGGGTGGGGTCTTAATAAGCTTGGGGTGGGTGAGAAAATTATATAAAAATTAATAAACGCATCCCCTCCCTTTTAAAAGGGACTCGAGAGTAGCTCTCAGCATTTAACTAGCTGCAGGTAAAGTTTTATACAAAAACAAAAAGGTTCTACTGGTGAGTTAAAAAATGAAAATGACCCAATTACAAACAGATTAAATTTATTTTGATTGTTATGAAGAAACTGAGTCTCATATAGGAACAAATCTTACCATTGATATATCATTTGAAATTCATATTAAATCAAGATATATATTCTTTCATGAAAAAAGTCAAAAAAATTGCAAAAACTTTAAAAGAATCTTCCACTAAAAACGATTCCGTTTTACAAAAACAACTAAAAGACATGGTTATAAAAAAAATGTTGTTAGTTTTAAATTCTAAAATAAGGTGGAACAACTTCTAGATATGCTTGAGTTAAGTTGGGTGATTGTGTTTGAAAAATTTAATCGATTTGGAAGAAGACTTTAACTCTTGTTCTGCAGAAATAAATTTATTATCTAGTATTATTGGTACATTACAAACAATCAAAGTAGCAATTTAAACATTCTGTTTTGTCTATACTAATTTAATAACAATCGATTTCAATTTAAAATTTACGTTGCACAAATTATCAAAGAAAAGTGTAGCATTAGGTGTAAAAATGAAGCATACATTAATTCTTGAGATAAAAATAGAGACGAAGTGTATATTCTGATGTTCTGAATTAAGTTTACAATCGACAGCAAGAGCTAAACGCCGATAAATATGTTTTATTTAACAACATTGCAAATAATTTTATTTCAAAGCTTATTATTCAACATGCACACAGGCCGTCCCAAATAGATTTTAAAGGAGGGGGTGGCGTGTTTGTTTTTTGCCGATCAAAGTTAAAAAATTTTTTTTGCCCACTAACTAAAAAAAAAAGTCCTCCGTTTGCCGACAGCCAATTATATATATTTGCCGACAGCCAACTATACATCCAATTTTGCCGACTCTAGTGTTTAATTTGCCGACTAATAAAATTTGTAGGGGAGAGGGGGTTAGCACCCCTACGCCCCCTCCCTCGGGAAGGCTCTGGTTGCACAGCAGTTTAAGCAAAATAAAGAAAAGCTTAGTTGATCACAAAACAGATAAAAAAAAAAAAAACATTGGAAATGACTTTTGCATTGTTATGACACCATCAACAACAATCTTACATTGAAAAACAAACTGCATAATGATTAGCAAAAATTTCTCACACTTTAAACATTACCAAAACTGTACCTATACCGTAAGGATAAAAAAAAATGGTTTAGAAGGTTGCAATGGTTTAATGAACAGCATTTTAGAGTAAAGCATCTTGAAAAAATTTATCAAGCTTTGTTAAGGATAAAAAAAAAGTTGTTTTTAATATCAGTATAACACCAGTATTACCAGTATTGGAAAAAATTAGTTGCCCTTCTACGGATATTAGTAAAATGCGGTGGTTTGCGAGTTTTAACGTTGGAAAAAGTAGTCATAACATCTTTCTTGTTATATTTTTGGTACTTCTGTCTTTTCTTGGAGTCCATAGTCACTAGAGGCAATTTTACTGAAAGTGTGGGGACTGTCATAATTCTCAAAGACGCAAATTTTAAGTTATAATTGGTGTTTGTATGTTATTATTGTTCCTATTATTAATGTTATTATTATTAGTTGTCATGTTAAATAAAAAAAATGTAAATGTCAAAAAACATTTAAAGGAAGTTAAAATAATAAATATGATATAAAAAAGTAAAAAATATATTAATGACAACCTTGTACTAAGTAGTCGCCATCTGAGAATTGTTACAGGGATTTCTTTATTTGATGTGTTCAAAATATAAAAATGTTTTTCATCAATTGAACAAGGTATATCTAATAAATAAAAAAATATACAAGCCATATATTGCTAATGAGATGTTAACAACACTATGATGTTCAACTGTTAATTGTCTGTCCAGTATAATATTGCAAAATTTCGATGCCAGCCCTTAAACCTGAGGCATTGCCTTGTAGTTGTATTTCTCCTTGGAGTGTTGTCAAATGTCACTAAGGTTTAAACAGACTCTTTGAACAAATGTGACAATAAAATGATGGATCCATTCAAAGTAGTATCTAAAATAGTAAAACAAAATTACAAAGCAACATAAAAAACCTTACAAGTTAAAAAGATATAGTTTACACAATATATTGCATTTAATGGAATAATAAATATACATTTTTGTAATCTTTTTTTTTTCTTCCCTACTTAAAACCAGTTCTGGAGACTGCTAACATATTTTTAAAAAATTCCATTAGTATCAATGATTGGAGAAAAAAAGTCTGTAGTTTAGGAATTTGATTTGAATATATATATATATATATATATATATATATATATATATATATATATTATATATATATATATATATATATATATATATATATATACACATATATATATATACATATACATATATATATATATATATATATATATATATATATATATATATATATATATATATATATATATATATATATATATATATATATATATATATATATTATATATATATATATATATATATATATATATATATATATATATATATATATATATATATATATTAGTGAACTTTATATTAAATTATATTAAAAGTTACACTAACGACAAAAAAAAGCTGACGTCATCGTATGAACATTCCATTAACTGCTTCTTACAGCTGTTCCTCTTAAACTGTCTTTTGCTTCATAAGCTACAATAACTGTTGGCGGCAAAAGTAGTAGCTGGTATCGAACTGGTCATGGTTTCATAGCAGGGGCGCATTCAGAATTTTTTGGTCTTTGAGATAGCTAACTTCCAGGCATGGAGCTAATTCTAAATCTTTATATGTTTATACTTATGTTAAATAATGAAGATTTGCAAAAATTATGAGGTGTTTGAAGGCTGGGAACAAAAAAGCCCCAAAATTTTCGCTCCCCTCTCCCTAACCCAAACGTGTGAGCAACAAGTTGATGCAATATTTTTTGTACCAAACCTCAAAGAACTTTTCTTAAATTTGGTAAAAAAAATTTTTTTTCACTTATCGCGTAGGGTTAAACCACCAATTCCTGGCCACTTAATTTTAAACTGCGTCGTAAAATTGCGTCCTATATTACCGCGAATGGCTTAGGTTCATGAATTATTTCTACACTCTTTCAAAAACTTCTAGAGATGCAACTTATGGAGAGTTTGTTAATTTTTGTCGATAAATTAACAAGATTTGGCACAAATACAACAAGGTCTAAAAAACACCATATCCCAGCGGGCACGCAACGTTATGTTAGCGTTGTATTTAAGTTAGATTTTATGTTAGTACAACGTTGTCGGTTCGGCAAAATGGAAAGGTTTTGTATCGTAAAATTCTTACGTTAGATATTAACGTTAAATTCTAAAGTTTTATTAACGTTATACTAATATAAATATAAGTTTAAAAAACATCAACGTTTTATATTAACGTAAAATATTGATTGTAATTGAGTAATATTTAATGTTAATATAGCTATACAGTTATATTTACATAACCCTGAGCCGAAGCCGTTTATACGCATTTCGTATCATGATTATTATATGAATATAACCGTGTAGTTATATTACCATTACATGTTAAACACAATTACAATCAATATACCAAGTTAATATAAGGGTTTTTAACCCCTTACAAAGGGTTAGAAAAATAGTTTTGGGGGTATTCAAACTAAAAATACAATAAATGTTTTAAAAGAGTTTTTTTTTAAATGTATTATAAATTCTTTTGTATTATAAATTTACAAAAAACTCAAAAATAAACAACTGTTTAACAATCACTTGCTTCCTAAATAAGTTTTTTGCTACAATTAACAAATGGAGAAAACTTTAAAATGCTTCCTATTTGATCTTTTATTTTTGCTTCCGTTGAAGACTCGTACATTAGCTGGATGATTTCTAAAATACAATATGGGATACTGTAAATCTTTGAATGATACCTTCTTTATATCGCAACGAATTTTACATTTCGTATTCAACTTGGCCATAACAACATGCTCCTTAAATTTATAAAAACGTAATAATAAATAATAAATGAAAAATAACTACTTTGTTATACCACATCAAGCGATCCAGCAAACTTATTTAAATAATTGTAAATACACATTAAAATAGTAATTCACAAAGTACCATTTTGAAAGGTTCTTTATTTTTATATAAATGTTTTATATTCAAAGTTTCGACATCGAATTAAAGCTGAAACCTGTAGAGGAGAACCTAAATGAATGGGGCAGTTTTCGTAAAATACTTTTTAAAAGTTGATAAAGTTGTTTGATTTTTACATTAAAAATTATTTGATAACCATTAACTCTCACACTATGACATATTTCTTGCACCAAGACAAAAAAACTGGTTTCGTCAGGAGAAATGTCCTATTAAATTCTATTAATGCAACATTTCTAATGTTATGTTTGGCCCATCATATTTAGACCATGATCGGAATAATAATTTGGTCTGTTGAATTGTTATGTTTAATATTTCTTACCACAGGAGTTTGGATATCCACTTAACCTTAGATGCTTATATGCAAATTTGATTTTGTCCCATTCAATAAGCGTTCCATTTATTAGGGTTTCCACCAAACATTAATATTAAAATTGTTTGTTTTTTTAAATTATTTTTCTTGGGCTAGATTTTTCTTTAAAATTTACTCACAATTTAAACAATTTGATTATCCAGAATTAAACAAAAATACATACCTGACCATAACATTTTTTTCTATTTTCTTTAACATTTTTTCCACCTGCTTTTCTGAGGTAACAAAGCTAAAACATAAATAAAAGTCTAGTGAAAAGTTCATGTTGGAATAAGACAGGATTAGATATATTAGGTTATTTTTTACAGTTGTTCTATAAAAGCAACGAAATAATAATTGTCAACCAAACATAAGACAAAATTATTTAACGAAAAATACAAGACTATGAAAAACTATACAGAATGTAAATGATGTCAGGTCACTAAGACAATTTTTGATTTATAAGTAGGAATTTATCTTTTGTATCATATGTTAAAATGTGAGAGCGATTTAAATAGGCTCATTAAGAAAACGATGAACTTAAATAAATGCGGTAGTGGTGTAGTGGTAGAGCGCTCGCTTCATAAACGAGTGTTTCAGAGTTAGATACCCACCACATCCCTGGTAGTACCGCGCTCAACTCGTTTCTCCGCGCAGCAGCCTTGTTTGTCAAGGTTTGTGTTTCGGAGTTATAGAGTTGAGAGAGGGTTATAGCCACAAATAAGTAGCCTCCTCGTCTGTAGTGGCTTTCTCGGCCTTGAGGTGGTGATTTAAAATAAAAAATATAAAAAATAGCATTCTATTAAACAGATAAACTTTAAAAATAGAAACTATTAATATAAATTACCAATTTACTGTACTCTTCCTTGTCTAATAATATGGTTTCAAGTTCATAAAATTCTTCAAGTGACTCAATCTTTTTGAAAATGGTTACGCCTATTCTTTTTAACATTTTATTGGCACATTTGCAGCACTTTTTCTCAAGAAGTTATATGAATAATACTGAAAACTATTTGCCAATAATAACATATATTTATGCAAAAAGTTATATAAAAAATCACAATAATTTGGCTTGTTATCACTAACAAATAATGTTACATTAAATGGTGTCACTTTTTCAAACATACATAATATAGGCCGAACCTGTGTGTTTGATGAATTGAATAAAGGTAGGCCATCTACATTGACAACTAGAAAATTGTATTTGACTTAAAACTATAATACCGCTAAAGTTCTTGATATGATTTTACCTCACTTGAAACATTCCTAGGAGTATTTAAAACTTTCTTTGTGCATTTTAGTAAATTAACATTGTAACCATACTGGTGTAAATGGGTAACGATTCGTCACTTGAATTTCTAGTTATTCTGTGCATTAAAATCCATTTGGCTATCTCTATAATTAAAAGTACTCTATTATTAAAATCTTTATTATCATCACTCATAGGAACCTCAGAGATCAGAACTCTCAGTTCCAGAAGTATCTTTATGATCAAACACAAAATAAAAGTCGCTATAGTTCTTAATTTCAATGTTTTTGAAATCAATGCAACTCTCGACTCTATTAATATTGGATTTGACATGCTATAAGTTGTCAATTTCTTGATTTACAAGTACATTGTTCGATTACTTTGGCTCGATTACTTTGGCGCCATTCCCTCTAGTATTGATTTTTTTCTTTTATTTTTATTATTCTGAAATAAATATAAATTTCAGTAGTTTTAACAATAACAAGATAATAATAAAAACTAAACACAATGAAAAATAATAATAAGAAAACCTAAATTTTTATTAATAAAAAAACAGGTAAAAACTTATTTAGAAGAGTTAATATTCTTATATTACCTAAACTTTGAAGAGTTAATATTCTTATTCTCTCATTAAACTACATTTATTCTTGGTAAGTTTTTTACCTGCTAGCTCAATAATCTCATACAGTTAAATCTTTGTATATAATTATCAGAAATAAAATCATACAGTTGAATGTTTGCATCATAACTAAAAACTTAAAGTTAAAACTTATAAAATAGTAATAATTAATAGTCACAACTTTGCCAGAAAATTGTGACTTTTAATTATTACTATTAATAAAAAGTTGAAAACAAATTTTGGAAAGACAGTAAGAACATTTGCTACCCTATGTTAAAGCCGATGTTGGGCCAAGCTTGGTTGCCGATATCGGACCGACAGCGTTTTTGTTCATACGGACTGAGGTCGGGCTGACATCGGCTAGCCGTTCAAATTGTCACGATGCATCGGCTGACCGATGTTTAGCCAATGCGATTCCACTCAAATCATCGACTGGTCGATCTCGGCCCAATGCGATTCCGTATGGACAAAAACAAGGTCCGATGTGGACAAAAACAATCCAGCCGCGCTAGGCCCGAAGATTAAAATAAGCAACAAATGCTCAGCTAGCCGATGCAAATCTTAACACACAAAGTTAAATCGGAAAATAAGAAAATACGATTAAGCAACTAAAGTATATGTAAAACACAAATATAAAATGAAATTATATATTTCTTTTAAATAAATTGAATCAGGTGAATCATCAAATAAATTGAATCGGGTAAAATTCCAATGTTTTTGATTAACCGATAATTCACGGTGTGCAGCATCTGAAAATCTTAAATTTTCACATATCAATAATAGCAATATAACATAAATCACAACATAGATAGGTTACATACTAGGTATTCGTACCAATGTATACATACCGACTGGAAGTGTACAGACTTCCAGCCAGTATCCATATTTCCACTTTTAATTTCAGAGAACGAAAAAACTAATTTATATTTATAAAATGAAAAGTATTATATTTCTAATTCAATAAAAAGTTACTTGAGCATTTTGAATCAGGATATGCACCATTTGCATCTTTGGCATTGTTTATATTGTTGCATTCAACAGCCCCTGTAAAAATTAACATGTTATAAAAAACACGCTGGAGTATATATATATATATATATATATATATATATATATATATATATATATATATATATATATATATACTTATAAACTCCAGCGTGTTTTTTATAACATGTTAATTTTGTGTGCATTATATATATATATATATATATATATATATATATATATATATATATATATATATATATATACATATATATATATATATATATATATATATATATATATATATATATATATATATATATATATAATACACACATATAATAATAATAATAATAATAATATATATATATATATATATATATATATATATATATATATATATATATATATAATATATATATATATATATATATATATATATATATATATATATATATATATATATATATATATATATATATATATATATATAATACACACATATAATAATAATAATAATGATAGTAATAATAATAATAATAATAATAAACTTACTCAGGTTTTTTTCGAATCAAAATATGCATTACCAAAATCTACAGCCACTAAAAATTATATATCAATAAAAATATGAATACAATATAGATAATGTTATCATAGCAACAGTATAATACCTCCATTATAAGAGTTTTCCTTCTCAGAGCACTGTGTTAAAAATAGATTCATGCAAAAAAAATATCACCATACCAGGTTATATTTTATCAATAAAGAAATAACAGAAATAATATTTTATTAATAAATAAAGAAATAACAGGATATATTTTGATATATGGTAAAAACTTATTTTACTTAAAACTTATGTCACCAGTGAATAAAACTACTTCTACCTTAGCTTGTGTTGAAATGAACTTTTCATAAATTTAACATAATCATACAACAAACTATTAACAAGGTGACATACCTAAAGGAGTTCATCTGTTAGCAATACTTCATTGATTGGCAATGAATTCAATACTAACACTACAGAAATGAAAAAATTTAATAAAAAGGAGATATATAAAAATTAAAAAAAAAAATACATGTATAATTAAGAAAAACTAAACTACTAATAGACCTGAAAAAAACAAAAAAACAAACAAATAGATTATTGAAAAAATCAATTCAATAATTCATAAGTTGACTTTGATTTCTTCGACATCTATTTCTTTAACTAAAAATTTTTACATATAATTGAACTTATAATAGACACTTCTTATAATAAGCCACAAATCTCTTACGTAATTAAGTAAAAAAAATAAATCTCTTCCATAATTAATTATATAAAAAAAGAATAGAAGAAAATAAAGAAAAAAGAAAAAAAAAAGAAATGTTTGAAAATACACCACACCTTGATAATTTAGAACATGGCCATTATATATTGAATTTTAAATATCGTTTAATGGATAAAGTTACCAATAACAAAGACAATCAAACAAAATATCTGTTCAACAAAAGTAAATATAAAGAGTTAAATAAATACTTTAATAATTATAGCTGGGAAAAAGAGTTTAAAACCTTAGGCTTTGATGAAAGCTATTTAAGATGGTTAACAATTTATAAAAAAGGTTGAAAATGTTTATCCCTTAAATTTAACAAAACAAACAAAACATTAGAAAGATAAAATCATTATGTTTAACAAAAGACCTAAAATTAAAGTTAAAAGGAACTTATGGTACAAAATCAAAGCTGCAGGTTTTAAAAATATTGATGATGTTATAAATTACAACAATCTTAATAAGATATTAAAAAAAGATATTAAAAAAGCAATTATGGAGTATGAACATAATTTAGTAAAACATTCAAAATCAAATACTAAATGTATATACTCTTATATAATCAGTTAAACCAAAATAAAAAATACTATTAAAACCATTAGAGATGCAATTGGTGATGTTACAACAGATGATAAAACAATATGCAATGCATTAAAAACATTTTTCAGTTCAGTATTCATAATTGAAAATAGCAATAATATTCCATTATTTGAAAAAAACACCTTTCTAAGCTGTCCATATCCAAAATTTGAGAAATTAATAATTGAAACAAAATTAAAATAATTAAACACAAATAAATCAACAAGTGTTGATAAAGTACATCCAGAAGTGTAGAAGGAACGCTCACAAAATTTATGTAAATCATTATAGTTTATTTTTAATCAATCATTCAATAGTGCAACTCTATCAAACTTATGGTTGCATGCAAATATAACACTATAATGCATTGTATAAGAAAGGTGACAGACTTGATCAGCTAACTACAGACCAATTTCATTAACATTGATTATATGCTATATCATGGAAAGTATTGTCAGAGATGAAATAATGAAATATCTTAACAATAGTAATAATACGCTAATTTAATAGTAGAAGTTAATAGTCGATTTACGTGATTTTCTAGGCTTTTCTATTTCTACGCGGGTTTTTTTTTTAATTTTATTTACTAACAATCCGTATAAATTGTTTGACAAATTTACTAGAAACATTAGATATTGTCAGTAAAGCATTTGGCAATAATATTCCAGTTGAAACTATATTTCTAGATTTTGCTAAAGCTTTCGATACTGTGCCAGATGATTTTATTGGTGATCTGTTGAACTGGTGCAGAGCTTTTCTAAAAAATCGGTTACAACGAGTTGTACTTGGAGAAAATATTTTTGAATAGATGAATGTTATAAGTGTTGTCCCTCAGGAATCAGTACTTGGACCATTATTCTTTATTTTATATATAAATGATATAATGTTAAATATAAAAAACAAATGTAAACTGTATGTTGGAGATACAAAGTAAATATCTATACTAGATCATAACAGTAGTACAGAAAATTTACAAGAAGATCTAAATAAAATGGTATAATAGAAAAAAAACTGATAGAATTTAATAATGACAAGTGCAAGGTTATGCATAATGGAAAAAATAATCCTAAAAACGAGTACCTGATGCTTAACAATACCAAAAATAAAACGTATTTTTTTTTTTTTTTTATTATCTTCGCTTCCAACAAGGCTGCAAGCAACCACTAATTAGTGTTGGAAGTTACTGGAAAAGAAAAGATGAAGATTGGAGAGCAAGATAACGATTGACAGACGACTTAAAAGATTGCAAATTATATGAATCAGGAAAGCAAGATGAAGGAAGTGAATTCCAAAGAACTGATGTTCCAGGAAAAAAACTAGACGAGTAAGAGTTTTTGGAGCACTTAGGAACAGTAACAGAAAAAGGATGAGACTTGATTGAATGACGAGTAACACGAGAATGAATTTTAGTAGATGGCACAAGAGACGCTAGCTCCTTCGAGCAGTGCCCATTATAGTATTTGTAGAAAAGAGAAAGAGAAGCAACATTACGACGATGTGACAGAGGTTGAAGGTTGGCTGCAAGAGCAGGTCCAACTGTTTACAATGCGTTTTTGCACCTTGTCTAAATGAGAAAGGGCATCATTAAAAGATCCGCCCCAGATATGGCAACAGTATTCCATATAAGGCCGGATTTGAGATATATAGAGTTGGAGAATAGAATCCAGAGTAAGAAAGTGACGAGCTCGATAAAGAGAAGCAACTTTAACAGATGCTAATTTTGCAACGGATTTGATATAAGGTTTCCAAGAAAGATCAGAAGTAAGAGTTAATCCTAGAAGATGAAGGTTAGGAGACTCATCAAGTACATTACCGTTCATAAATATAGGAAGGTCTAAACTATTGCGATAACGATTAGCCGAAAAAAATGGAGTTTTATCTGAATTAAAGTTCACCAGCCACTGTGAGCCCCACGCTGTAGCAGAAGTGAGATCCTTTTCAAACTCAGATGCCCCCTGCAAGCAATCAGAGGTAGTTGGCTTCTTATTGTGACAAGAATAAATGGTAGTATCATCAGCAAACAATTCCACCTAAGATGTGAGAATATCTGGAAGATCGTTAATGTAAATTAAATAGAGTATAGGGCTAAGGATTGAACCTTGGGGAACCCCTGAGGTTACAGAATAAGAAGAAGAGTGCTGTCCATCGAGGAAAACTTTTATACTACGATTGTAAAGAAAGGATTCAATAATCTTAAAGATGTTTCCAGATACACCATAAGAAGAAAGCTTATGGAGAAGACCAGCATGCCAAACTTTATCAAACGCTTTAGAAATGTCAAGAGCGATGGTCTTAACCTCTCCACCTTTATCTAATGCGCGATAAAACCTATCGGTTATTACTGATAGCAAATCAGCCGTTGAACGAGAAGGTCGAAATCCATATTGGTGATCAGAAAGTAGGTTATGAGATTCGAGATGAGAGATTAAGTGTTTGTTAATTAAAGACTCAAAAACCTTGCTTACGATAGGAAGAAGACTAATGGGACGGTAGTTAGATGAATCAGATCGCTCTCCAGAATTTTTAAAAATAGGGATAACAGATGCTGCTTTCCAGCAGGCTGGAAAACAAGACTCTGATAAGCACTTGTTAAATAGTTTTGAAAGGATAGACGACAGCTCCGGAGAACACTTCTGCAAGACTATAACAGGTATGTTGTCCGGGCCGCAAGCTGTAGAAGAGTCTAAGCGGGAAATCACTTTAGATACAGAAGCTGGATTGATACGAATGTCGAGTAATGGATCAAACTGTTTGACAGCTATATCAGGTAGAACGCAACTAGTGGCATCAAAAGATGATATTAATGAAAAGTTCTTGGCAAACAATTCAGCTTTGTCTTTAGGTGAAGTGACAAAGTCTGAACCATACAAAAGAGGTGGAATTACAGACTTGCCCTTATTATTGATACTATTAAAGATTCTCCAGAATTCACGAGAGCCTAATTTTTGTGATGAAATACGAGATTTCATGATCTGAGAATAGCGAGCTCTGGCGTTAGACAAAACCTTTTTACAATGGTTCCTGGCAGTAATAAACAGACGTCTGTTTTCTGGAGAATTGTTTTGCTGATAGATATGGAAGTAATGGTTTCGATTGGCAATTGCAGCAGCGCAATGTGAGGAAAATCATGGAGAAGAGTGAGGCTTGAACTGGAATCGTTGAGAGGGAATAAAGGATTCCATGCCAGTCTGAATCTACAAAGTTATGTAAGAAGCACATTTGTCAACAGGGAGACGAAAGATTTCTACCCAGGGGCCATCACGAAAAAAATCACGGAAAGAGTCCCAGTCAGCTTTAAGGTAGTTGTAAGATGTACGATAATAGGGGGATTCTGATGGTAAAGAAGAATGAGATAATAGTTTTAGAGAGACCAAACCATGATCAGACGCAGCTAAGGGTGAGTGTGAAGAAACTGAGCACTGACTAGGATCAGAAACAAGACATAAGTCGAGTAGAGAAGATAAATTCAGGTTGTCTAGAAAGCGAGTTGAAAAGTTGACTATTTGAGTTAGGGATTGAGAAAGACAAAAGTTGTGGGCCTTAGTGCCTGCAGAGTCACTGACACTAGAGCCAAGCCATTCAGTGTGATGAACATTAAAGTCACTGACAACAACAATATTGGCTGATGGATAAAGAATGAGGGCTTGGTCAATATAATTAGAAATAACATCAAGAAGAGTGCAGTCTTGAGATGAGGGAGAGCGATATAGAACAAAGAGAAAGGTGATAGAGTAAAGTGGTGCTAGACGAAACCACATAAAAGAGTAGTCTGTGGATTCAAACCTAGTTTCCCGACAAATGGGTGAATTCTTACGAATGTAAATGCCCAGGCCAAGCATGTGACTATTGGAGTCTTTACGAATTAAAGGAAGATAACCATCATCTTTTTAACGTCATCTAAGATCACAAGATGAAACAGCTGAACTCAAATTAGTCTCACAAAGAGCAAGTAGGTCTGGTGAACTTTGCAAGAGGTAAGACTCCATAGAAGAAAAGTTACTTCGAAGACCACGAATATTGGTGAATGATAGGTTTAGCGAACTTGGTGATGACTGTGGTTTTTTGTGTTTTATAGTTTTTGTTACTTTATTCATTTTTAGATTTGTTAAAGAACTTGACTCGAAACATAGATAGTACACTGTTTTATAGCTCAGTACACTGTTTTATAGCTTAAGCAATTGCCTCATTTCCACTAATAAACCCTAAGCCGTAACATAGGGCTCCAATGTGGCCTTGGCAATGCACACCAAAAGTACAAACAGGGACACCATCCATGCGCAACATGGCACTGTTAGTACTCTGATAATTTTCATCTGTTGATGGAATCAGCCTCTCTGAGAGCTACCACAGAGTTCGGGAAACCTGACTACCAGCCGGCCTCAGAACCATAAAACTGAGTTTTAGAGCTGTACCCTCATTTGGAGATGAAGAATGAGTTGCCTAGTCATAAAAACAGAGACACAATCAAAACCCATGAATCGAGTCAAGAAGATCCAGCGTTCAACATCCTAAACTGGAAACAATGTATTAAAAATACATCTGCGCCAGCCTAATAGATGAGGAAGGGGTGCGAAGCTGGTCAACAGATAGAATCTGTTTACCTCTTAAGTCTTTGCCTAGGAGGTCTTCTACAAGACAGCAGCTGGATGCATGTAACATCTGCCCAAGATGAGTATTTTTATCGAGACACCATCTCTAGCCTTTACTCAACCAAAAGCCCCAAGGCAGGGGGTGTTTTATGTCGGAGTTTGCATCTCCTAGTCTTTGCCTAAAAAGGCATATCCTACAAGGCAGCAGGACATGAAGCAGATTGTACTGGGTTACATGTTACCAGTAGCAGGATAAACCTGACCTGACATCAATCTATGACGTATGCCATTAAACTAACAAAAATAATTTTAGAAAAACAGCTTGATATATATTTATCAAATAAGCTTTACTGGAATTACATTATCAACTATAGAGTCAATAAAGCTTACCAAAAATTAGGCCAAATAAAACACTCTTTTAAATATTTAGATAAAAAAAAAAGATTACTATTAACTTCATTAGTCAGACCTCGACTTGAATATGGTTCACCATTATGGAACCCATATTTACAAAAACATATCAATATGATCAAACAAGTCCAACAAAGAGCAACTCATATCCACAGTTTAATAGGTTTACCATACGAAAATGGATTAAACAAAATTAATCTTCCGACATTAAAAATAGAAGCTCGAAAGCCGATATAGTGCAACTATACAGGTTTATGAATAATTTAGATGTAATTAATTGGTACAATCCTCCTATATTTATAAAAATTTTAACTACAAAAGAGTGCAATAAAAAAGTATGTAGACATTAAAGCAAAAAAACAAACGGTCAATGTAATTTTTTTATAAATAAAATAGTGGACAAAACGAATCGTTTACCACAAGAAGTTGTGGATGCAAAAAACTTAAATACATTCAAATCCCTTATAATTTATAAGAGTTTTGAATGTATTTAAGTTTTAAAACCATAAAAATAAACGTTAAACTTTAGTTTGCAAAATAATGTCAATTTTTTTTCAGTTCATTAGTTTAACATTAAATTACTAAGTTAAATAGATTATGTTAACTAAAACATAACTAAATGAATATATAAATAAATACTAAAAA